AACCCGTGACCCTCAGATTGTGAGTCGAGCGCCTTATCCACCTGGCCATGCCGGGCCGAAAAGTAGTATGTCGAAAGTAATTAGAAAAACTTAATAAGGCCATTATATCACTGAAAAACAAGTGAACCTGAGCTGATTTAATGGAACTTGTTATGCCTGATTTATAGGTATAGAAAATACGTTTTGAAACGTAGATAAGTCGTAATAATGAACTAAATGATTATCAGAGTTTAACATATTGATAATCAAAACTTGTCAAAATAATTAAAGGATTTCTATAAATATATTGGGATTCAGCGTCAGAATGATAGACTGTTTCTTGTATTTCTTCGACTGATCTCTGACTTAAAATTTCCCCTACATTCACCCTTATCCTATCTAACCATAAATAAGTTACTCGACCTACTAAAGACCGATTTGAAAGTCAAAAATGCCTGTCACAGACCTGCCCTGATGCATGTTGTATATATGTGTAGACACAGATAAGATTCACGTGGTTGACTTAAGGGAACGCGCAGCTGTAGCCAAGGACAGTGAAAAACCTATCGCAATGAAGATAGAACTATACATTAAACGTTTTTAGGTTATTTCAAAAACTCCACTTTCTCTCCTCTGTTTTAAACTAATTCACCGTAACAACTTGGCTTTTGTTTATTTGTATACAGATATTTTGAGGATATTTTCACTGATTGTTATTCATTGCCTTTAAATACCTTATTTTTTGTAAAGCTTATATCTGAGATATGTCGAAAGACAAAATATATCAGTTAGACTATATCAACCCAAAGTATTCATGCAGAGTTTTGGCAAAAATATTAAGGTCCAGCGCGTACCGGACTTTGGAGCTGAGGGTTTCTGGTTCGCGTCCCGTTACCACCAAAACGAAAATCCGTACTTTAGAGCTGTGACTGCCTAACGAGTACAAGAGTAACGGAAAACCTCACTATTCTGTATGAAAAACTAGCCCAAGTACGGCGAGTGATGTTTTCTAATTGTCTTCCCTCTAGTCTATCACTTCAAAATTAGGGACAGCTAGCGTAGTTAGCCAACCCACCTGTAGCTTCAAGAAATAAACTAAAACAATAATTCTGAAAGAATTTGTAAAACTTTGCATCAGGCTATTCAATGTTTTCGTTTGTCATGCACCCAAAAATCTGCACACTCTCTTAAGGGTAAAAAAGGACCAGACACTCTTAACTATGATAAGAGATGTGAAATACATCGGATTTTTTTCCGACACAGCTGAGTGTAATATACTAACTTATTTGTGGTACACATTTCTTAACAACTTAGGCCAAACTTACTTTAAATCCGTGTCCTGATCGTATATATTATCACATTTAAAATGTGAGTTAATTTGATTAGTAACTAATCGTGCAGAGTGAGAGAGAAAAAAAAAGATTCCTTATAGTACATATAAGACTGTTGTGGTTGAATTTCGCGCAAAGCTATCCAAGGACTATATGCACTAATCGTCCCTAATTTAGCAGTGATAGACTAGACAGAAAGCAGCTAGTCAACATCACCCTCTTCCCATTCTTGGGCTACTCTTTACCAACTATTAATGGGATTGACCGTCACATTATAATGCCCCCACAGCTGAAAGAGCCGAACATGTTCGGTGACGGGATTCGAACCCATGACCCACAAATTGCGAATCACGAGCCCTAAATACATGATACCATACACATGAGAGTTTCATCTCATCAGTAGCTTAGCATTTTCTCACTGCGTCGTTGGCTTTTTTGCTTTTATTGGTCTAAGTTATATGACATATTTTTAAAAAAGTTATTTTGATGCAATTTAACGAATTCATTTTCACGCCCACCAACTTCAAGAACGTCGGCTTAAAGCCATCTCTATCGATTTTCTCTTCAACAACCATCAAAGGACATAGAGGTTGTATTTCAAGCTTATGTCTTCGTGGCTCTAAAATACGATTGTTTAACAACGAAAAGCCAATTTACTAAAGATGGGCGAGGGTGTCAACTTAAAAGTATTGCGAAGAAACACGACTCTCGTTTAGCTACTCAATTCTCAACGTGGTTGACAGGATATAGCGCTATTGTGCCATCTCTGAACTTTATGACTCATTTTAATATTTTCAAAACTAAAAAATTAATTACAATTTTTATGTTAAACTTGTGTAACAAAATTAATTTTTGAATAAAAAATATATCTGGCATTAAAATGAATTACGGGGGTTTCGTTTTTTTTATATTAAATTTTCAGTATAAAATTTTATCATAAAAATTTAATTTTATATTACAATCACAAAAATTACCGTGTTTTCTTTTTTCATAAATCCGACATCCTTTTCAACGGAGTCAAGATGAACGACACAGTTAAGAAACAGTTGGGAACAAAGATAATTTA